AAAATCCATACAGCAGCTACCTTTATGTAATGAACCCAAGGGTTATATCACACGGATGTAAAAACTGCAGGCATGCTCCAGAGCTAACTAAATGAAAACAATTGCAGACGAGGGTTTAATATCTCTCATTTGGAGAGAACGGTCTCTATTGACATAGACTTCATGGTGGATAGCTGGTCTGTTGAAACGTTTTTGGGTTTTTTTGTCCTTTTTTGCGTTTAAACAGACTTCCTGGTTTAAACTTTCTGTCGTCCACTCGTTTTCATTTTCCCTTTAAAGTGACAAGAGCAGGTTCGCGCATGTGCAGAACAATCTCCGCATACAAGTTAGCAAACTTGCAGTATCACAGTGTAAATGTGGCACATTACACATAAATAACAGCATTTAATCCACCCGTGGTGACATCTTGCAAATAATGGGCCAATTGAAATAAACAGACTTCCTAGTTTCAACTTCCTGAAATTGTAGCTGTCAGATAAACAAGTGAAGTCAAACCTGCAGTTGTGATCACTGTCATCATGGGTATGAGTTACATGGTAATTTGGGGCTTTTGAAGATTCCCTTTGAACTATTTTTTCTACTGTGGAATGATTGTACAGCATACATCTTTAACAACTTTTAAAAACAAGAATTGAGTACAAAATGTTTACATTTCTTTTAAATTTTCTCAGATCCACACACAGTCAAAAGTACATACACACTCAAATATATATATACATACATCTCCACTAATATTACACTTCCACCACATGCTTTTGATAGCAAGCTTCTGACACAATTCTGGCTGGATATTTGAATCTTTATGAAGAAATTAGAGTTCATTTCAGGTGGTTGGTTTACTGACACAGAACTGGAATTCAAGCATAGTCCACACATTTTCGACATGGTTGAGGTAGGCACTTTTAGAAGACCATTCCAGATTATTAATGTTAGCCTGCTTTATTCATTCCGAAACCAGTTTTGACGTGTTTTGCGGATTGTTGTCCAGTTGGAACACCCGATTTGTGCAACTTGTCAG